TAGAAAAGTTCATGAAATGTCTACCATTTAAAGAATTTTTAAACACTCATGTCACCACCAACCAGTCAAAAAACGAAATTTTGCCAGCAGCTGCCCACATTCCTGTCTAGCCTTGATTACAGCCCTGTCTCCCTCCCCCCCACCCCCAGCTTTGCCACTCAGCAGCTGGGCGATCTTGGGCATGTGGCCTAACTTCTTAGTCTGTTTCTTTTATAAAATGAGGATGGATTCACTTCTTAAGAGGCTGAATAGCTTGCCACTTAAAAGCACATGTCCTGGACCTAGCCTGTCAGGTCCAAGTCCCAGCTCTGCTACTGACAAGCTTGGTGACATTAGGTGACATTAATGTCAATATTTATCTCAAGGTTGCTGTGAAGAAGGAATAAGACAAAATATTAAGGGCAATTAGGACACTACGCAGGAATGACACCACCTGGGACATGATAGATACTGTCTAGAAAAAAAATGTTAGTTGTTGTTTTCATAAAGCTTTTGTGTATATGGAAGCCAAGTAAGTGTTGGAAGATAAATTAATATATGGAAATTACTACAAAAAATACTAGATGTATATTTATGGATGGTTTTGTTACTATATTGGTAACCAAAGTTTCTTAGCTCCTTCAACCTTCCTGTACTCTCTTTTCCCATACCTCACTTCTTACCAAAGAGCAAAAGAATATTAAAAAGATTTTTGTAATTAAATTGTTTTTATTTTTTATTGAAGTAAAATTCATAGAATTTGCCATTTTGACCATTTTTAAAGTACTCTATTCAGTGGTTTTTAAAAATAATCACCATTGTGGAGCCATTGCCACTATCTAGTCCCATAATGTTTTCATCGTGCCAAAAAGAAGCCCTGTACCTGTTAGCCGTCACTGCCCACAGCCCCTTCTCCAGCTCCTGGCAACCACCAGTCCACCTGCTGTCTCTGCAGATACTGGGATCAATCAATATGTGGCCTTTTGTGTCTGGCTTCAACTTAGCGTAATATTTTGAAGATTTATGTTACAGCATGTATATTCCTTTTATGGTCAAATATTTCATTGTATAGACATACCATATTGTGTTTATCCACTCAGAAGTTGATGGACATTAGGGTTGTTTCCATCCTTTGGCTATTATGAATACTGCCTCTATGTGGGTTTGTGTCCAAGTTTTTACATGAACACATTTTCAGTTTTTGTGAATACACATGTCGGTCACTACAAAAGTTTTGAGACAGACTGTGTTATAGTCCCATTATTTCATTTCCAAGAAACACAGTTGACAGCATCCTTTCTGATTCACCTGTGCAAGTTTAAACTTACTTACCTTTTTCTGTGTTGCTCGAAGGGCTTTATTTGTTTCCATCCATGCAGATTTTGTTTCCTGATAATTTGTGTTATCTCAAAACTTTTCTAATGACCCACAGATCTAGGAATGGAACTGGAAAGTCATATGGTAACTCTACCTTTAACGTCCTGAGGAGCTGCCAGACTGGCACAGTCAGAAAGGCTCAGAAAGTTCTGCCCAGCCTTCTCCTGGCAAAGGCTACCTTATGCTTTGCGAAGAGCTTAGTGGGAGAGCCCTCGGCCTTTGATGTATTTCTTCTACGGGAGCAGTGTGGTGGGCAACCTGCAGGATGGGGCACCCAACTCAGCCCTCAGTAGAGGGCGTCGTGACCTCACCCCCAGTCTCCTGCCTGGTAAAGCCTCAACCAATGCTGATTTCAAGCCTTTGGGAGTTCCACACAAGAGCTATTTTAAAGACAAATTTGGCTCCGAAGATTGTTAAAACCTATATGTCTCTAAAGAGTAAGTAAAAAGGAATTCAAGGAAATGTAAAACATGCTTTAATATCTCATCCCTGACTCTGCTGAGGAATATTAAAAAAGGAACTTTCCATTTGGGGCTTTCAGCCAAAGCTGATTTCCTTTGCTCTTTTACTACTCAGAGTATTTTCTTCTCTCTTCATTTGTACTTTATATAGATTTTTGTTTGCAATTCAAATTGAATTTTTTATTTTAATGAGGATGTGGAGATGACAACGTGGTAATTGAAACAACTCACATTTCAAGTGTATGTGCTGAACACTCTTGAAAAAGAACTTCCTTAGTTTGCACAAGGTCATCTTTGTGTGTCTCCTGCTTTATCAGTCTTAATGGGAATCTTTAAATGTTTCCAAACATGAAAGGTCCCAACAGTGGTGTGTTTTGCTTTTTTTTTAATAGTTGAATTGTATCCTCTGAAAATGGGATTTTTTAATTGTAGGCTGCTACGTTCCCCACCACAGTAATGGGGAATTGCTAAATAGGAAGCAATTTCAGCTCTTAAATTTGCTGATGTGATGTTTCTTAATCACTTTAATGAGTTTCATACCACTGGAAATGGAATTGAATTTTCAATGGAAATATAATTAAATAGAAAAGTCATTTCCTATACTTGTAATTTCCACCTGATCATTTCTTTATTCACCTCCACAGAAAGAGTGCCTTCCAGGCTCATAGTGATAGTATTGTATGGACTAATTTGCATAATTCACTGAGGTCATTAGAGCTGAAAACAATATAAATATCTAATAATAAATTCCATTACAAATCAAGAGCAACAAGGCAACATAGATCTGCAGACTATGATTTTTCTTTTTAAAGACTGATAAAATTTACTAAGTTTATCTGATTTCTCTTGAATTGTCCACTTCTTGCCTAAATCCAGATTTGTCTTTTAATTGTGCCTTTTCAATCAGGCCTCCCTAAAACAGCTCTCAGGGGAAGCAATAACATGAGTCAGTAAGAGCTATAAATGATTTTTGGAGCTACTTAATTCTCATATTTGAATGATTTTGCTGAGAGTCAGTAGAAAAGAAAGTTTACTATTTTTATATAGTGATGCTAAAACAGAAAGGCAATTTATTTCATTTATTTATTTTTTTGAGACAGAATCTCACTATGTTGCCCTCGGTGGAGTGCTGTGGCATCACAGCTCACAGCAACCTCCAACTCTTGGGCTAAAGTGATTGTCTTGTCTCAGCTTCCCAAGTAGCTGGGACTACAGGTGCCTGCCAGAACAGCCGGCTATTTTTTTTTTTTTTTTTGGTTGTAGTTGGCATTGTTGTTTGGCAGGCCCAGGCTGGGTTCAAACCTGCTAGCACTGGTCTATGTGGCTGGCGCCACAGCTGCTAAGCTATAGGCGCTGAGCCCCAGAAAGGCAATTTAAATTTGTTTAATTTGTTCTAAGGTTAATTTGTAAGTTTAATATATTCCTTTTGAGAATCCATCAGACATTCTGAAAAAGGTGGAGGTTTTTTTGGTCTTAATTGTGGAGCTTGTGATTTTTACATCTTAGCATAGAAGTAGTCAGAGGGCTTGCTTTCCATTTAATTAATATAGTCCAGTTGGATTTACTTAAAGTACATTTTTGAAAGAATCTTTTTACATTTGTAACTACAAAAACAAGTGGTTTGAGCATAATTACTCTCCAGCCAAGCTTTTCTTCTTTTATATTTTGAGCAGACCTTTAAACAAGAGCTAGTGGAAGTGCCTGCCTCACACCTCCCGTGTGGAGAGGGTGGAGGGAGGACCAGCCTTTTGCACCTGGGTGTGTTTGCAGTAGCTTGTTCTGCAGCACATAGTGTAGATGGGTACTGAGTCATATTCCCTCTATAGTGACCAGTGACCCACATACTTGAGACAGTCATTTATAACCTTGATCTCTACTTTCCACGGTTTAAAAAAAAAAAAAAACATATATAATTATCTCAGTACAGGCATGCCCAACGTGTGGCCCAGTGGGCCGAATGCTGATTTTGTGAGAACTTTTTTTGCTTATCTGTGCTGTTCAATAGCACAGAACGTATGCATGAACCGTTTTCCCCACTTATCAGTGTTTGTGTACTTAATGTGTGGCCCCAAACAACTTATTCTTCCAATGTGTGGCAAAGGAAAGAAAGAAGTTTGGACATCCTTGACTTAGTAACTATTGGCTTGATAGAGCTTTAAGATTAGTAATGTTTAGAAGTCTAGGGTCTGGGGGGGTGTTATGCTAAGGAAAATCCATACAATGTGTTCTCCGTAAAATTAAGCTGTAAACCACCCCCCAAATGAGATTCCAAATGTCAAAGCATTTTGTCAACTGTAAATCAATTTAAATGTGAATTAGGATTTATTTTTAAACAAAAATGAACCATGAGGAAATTTCTTTCTGAGTTTAGTCTTGATGTTCGTTGATAGGTGTTTATTGAACCACTTCCTCATTGTACAATAGTGTATTAAAAAAGTGCTTTCCAGGTTTTGTGTATGATGAACTACTATTTTCAGTCTGCTAATTGTCGACTATTTCCAGTGCCAGGATTTATTATACTATTCTGAATGTCAGATTTAATCCCAAAGTTTTGTCATTTCCCCAATGTTGCTAAATTGAAAAAGAAATGACCTTTGCAGACCAGGAGTAAGTAAACGGCGCTCAGCTTATCCAGTCAGGCTACAAGTAGCAGCTAAAGCGAGCTGGATTGGGGTTATTATAACCCAGGGCTTTCCCCCAAGACAAAACTCCTCTACACTAGTCTAGTCAAGGGCTTTAAACATCTTAGTCATCTTTTTTATATTCCTTGCAAGGAATCTCTTTGGCTAGGTGTTCATTCAAGGAAGGAAAGAAAGGAGGTGAGAAGGAAAGAAAAGCAGGTGAGAAGGAAAGAAGGATCACTATGGTTAGAAAAGGGCAGCTAAAGGTTATTTCTGAGGATGAGCTAGCAAGCTTAATAAATAATGGAATCCACAATCGTCTAAAGCAGAGAATATAAAGCTGTCTCCATTACAGAAGGGAGGGAAATGACAAAAATGCACCTGTGTTTTTGTAGCAACAGACTTCAAAAATCTTGTACTGAAATCAACAAGAATTAGAAAGCCCTATTTGTACAAAATAGATTTTCAAATGTTTGCTGAATTGAAAAGAAAAAGAACATTTATGAGAGTTATTATTCCCCCCCCCAATGTCTTCTATAAATAAAATAGAATGACCTTCAAGTTGTGGAATGTAAATCTTTTATTAAAACAGTTGTCTTTCCACAGTAGTAAAGCTTTGGCACATACAGTATAAAAAATAATCACCAACCATAATTATACCAAATTCCTCTTATCAACTGAATACTAAGTGTCTTCCATACAATTTTTTTTCCATATAAAAATACTGGGAAAAATTGATAAATAACAGGTCAGAGAAAGTTATCTCTAGGCAAATTACTAGAATCATTTGGAGAAAGTGAGTACTGTAGATACTTTAAATATCACAGTAACAAGGTCATGCCGTCCCGACGGGACTGCAGACCGGGCAGGTAAGTGAAAGCAGAAGTGTTTGGGTACCTTTCCTACTTAAATTTTTGTTCATGTCATTTCCATACATTCTGCATCTTGGTTGGCTGCATATGCTTTCCTATCGATCCCAAACCAAATCATATGTTAGAATCATTTCATTTAAAATACTGAGCAGTATTGACTACGTTGAAGCAGAACAGGCAACGTAGTGCCTTCATTTATCAGAAAAGTCTCAAAACACTCCCAGGGCGATGCTTGAGAAGCTGTGAGTTGAGCTGAAGCTGGAGAACTTGCTCCAGAGCAAAGGGCTTAAGAAAGAAACAAGCACTCCAATGTGGGGCCTGCTGACATCACTCCAGTCTGGATGGGCCTTGGCAGAGAGACGTGCTTGCTCCTCAGGCTTGGAAACATCTACTCTCTGGAATCATCTCTGTCAGCCTGTATATCTAGAGGCATGAAGCACTCAATTGGGCAATTAACGTTCTGTCAAAAAGGGAAGAAGAGAAAAATCAGTGGCAAATACTGTAAAATGTACAGAAAAAAAACTGAGGCAGTGGGAACTTAGAGATTAGGATAATAAATATTTCTTTCTAGTTTCAAGCACCTTAGCAATTTACTGGTCAATAAGAGTTGTTCAAAAGTTTAGTTACTTATAACTTAAATTATGTTATAGAATACGGTATTCCACTCATCATTTTTGAGACTTCTTTTTTTAAATAAAGAAAATTTGGTTCATTTGGAAGAAAAGGTACCCACAGAAAGAGACTCTCTAGCAGGGACAGAGGTATTTAGGGGAGAGACACTCTTGGGGCAAATGCACTTACAGTGTTTGTTCTCTGAGGATATCTCTGAGAATACTGGTTGTAGTGGCCAGTGGAGCCTTCGGGACTGGGTTCGGCCCCAGGTCTGCGGCAGTTGTCACAGCGCCAGCCCTAAGAGAGTAGAGGCATGAAGTCATAGGGGGTTTGTGACAGCCCATGGACATCATAACTCAGAGCTTAAGTTAAAGAAAAAAATTAGCTCTTATATACTAGCAAAATATAAGCAGTTAATAGCGGAGGACATTTTGATGATGATTCCGTGCTTCTCTAACTCTTATATTCTGGCTCACTACCGTGTGTTGTACCTACCTCTGTCCATTTATGCTTTTCCTTTCTTCTGAAGTGTCCTCTCTTCTCTCTATTCAAAACCCACCCTCCCGCTAAGGCTCATTCCAGTCCCAACTTCCTCAGTAAGCTTTGTGTACTAAATGACAGGAAGGTTTTCATAGAATCCTAGAGATTTTAGAAGGGACTTGAGACAAACACCCTAAGTTTATAGGAAAGGAAAAAGAGACCCAGGGAGAGGAGTGACTTGCTCAGAGGAAGCAGGGAGGTCACCTAGTAGAGTTGGGGCTGCAGCCCAGGATTTGAGGTGACTACTGGCCATGTTCTTTTCAACCTTCCTAAACCTCCCCAGCCAGTGACATGGTAGCCTTTCACCTGGCCAGAGACAGACTGGGAGACGAGAACAGGACCAAGGTAGGTGAATGAGCTTGACCCCTGAGACTTTTGCTGTCACTGAGTTTCCTGAGCTGGAAGGAAACACAACTGGAGCACACTAAGGTCACTGCGAGAGGGCGCCCCCTGGAGGGAGAAGCCAGTGCAAGAGAAGGTGCATGGAGAGGGAGACTCCAAATGCGGGTGCTGGGGCAGCCCTTGAAGCTGGTAGATTCTGGGACTTTTCCATTATTATGTTGAGTTATTTTTGTCTAACTTGAATGGACTTTTCTCCTAAGACTAAAAGAACCCTAAATAAACTAATCTTGTTCTTTCTTATAATACAATTTAAATATTTTGGACATACTTCTCCATTTAAGAGCAGATTCCCCATAATACCTAATACAACACAGGTAATGCCTATCTACAGAATTAATGAATCATGTGAGAACGTAACAGTTCCACTGTCTCAAATGTTCTTTATCAAGCACCTTGAGAACAGCACGGTGTCACACGTGAAAGGTTTCATATATGCATAAATAATGAGAAGATGCTGGAATGAGTTAGAAATCTATTTCCCAATAAATTCACTCTCCATCACACATTTTCATACTAGGATGACTGAATCCTATGATCCTGGCCTCTTATACAGTTAATGAGAGAGGGAGAGAGAAATTGAGATTGATTCCACAGTTTCTCTCCCATCAGAACTCGGAACACGTCCCTCCCCACCTAACCTCTAGGGGTGGAATAATATCAGAGTAGTTTCCATGGGCTGCCCAAAGTGGGACAGAGACTAGCCCCCGAAGACCCTTTTCTGCTGCCAGATTAATTTTCCAAAAGACTATCTAACATGGGGCGCCTTTAAATCTTGAGCACCTGCAATTAGTTAATGCTAAACGCATCATGAATCTGACCCTTCTGGCAGGGAGCATGCTCCTTATATATCAGAATTTGGGGAGCTGTTTGTTGTTTCTGTTGAAAACAAAGGACTGTCCTCTTCTGCTGCTTTCATTGGAGTTACAAGAGTCATTTCATTTTGATACTTCAAATAATATTAGAAGACCTACCATTTTTGGTTATACTGAATTCAAAGTAGAGCAGATGTCAGAAATAGTTGAGAAGTACATTTCAGTAACCGAGTCCCAAAGTCCTCCATAATTCACTTCCCCGCTGATTTCTTATTAGAAAATGACACCAGGCAGCGAGGTGGCTCCCTGGAGCCTCTCCGGCCCTGCTCCTTCCTATCCCCGGGAGTGTGCTCTCTGTCTGCTGCTTTTCCCAACCACATCTTAGCCATCCTCAACTCCAGCCAATTCATGCTTCTCTTTCTTGCTAATTCCAGCCTACCTGGAACTATATTAGTCAGTTAGAAACTTATTTAATTAGCTCGACTTTGCAATGTATACAATTTTATGTTTTCGACTATATCAGTAAGAGCAAGGACCACTGCCCATCCTCTGTGCTAACTTACTCAGTACAGCACTAGACCAATAACTAGGACCGGTTTTAAAATGGAGAGAGGGTGTAGAGAAGTTATCCAAAATATTTAGCAATGATGCCACAGAGACACCTGTCCAGCAGAATGGAGCTGGAAGCCCAGCACTGCTTAGCATTTGAGTTTAGTTCGGTTTAGTTGCTGAACAGCAGGCAAAGGGTGAGGCTGAGGCTGCCAAGGAGTCAGAGAAGCAAGTCCAGAGCCTTCCATCTGAAGCTGTGTGCCTACAGGAAATGCACACAAGGGGCTTGATACTTCACAAGGGGCTCTGCCACATCTGAGTGGGCTGCACACCCATGCAGGGGCCTTTTTTTATCATGGCTGAACTTCAGGGAGTCTAGCCTGGTGCATCTGCCCTTACCCGCTGGCCTCCGAAGCACGTGCAGGAGCAAATGGCGCCCAGATACTCCTTCTGCCACTGCTCTCCTACGTGGTATGTCTTTCCATCATCGTAACAGGTCGCCTCATCTAGGCACAAGTCAGAAGCACAATAAGGCTGAGAACAACAATGCAGACTTGACATAGGGGTGGTTCTATTTGAGTCCTAAATCCACACCGTCACAGCCCAAGCCCCCCATATATCCATTTGAATCACTCAGGAGAGAGGTCCTGCTACACGGATCATAGGGCAGCCTTTCCGAAAACTAGTTTTAACAAACTGGAAAGAGTCCAACAGGAAGATGGAAATCATATTTTAAAGGTTGAATCCACAGACCCATAAAGCTTCCTTGTAACATTTCACCGCAGATAATGGTCAAAATAGTCAGGTTGGAAAAGTGCTAAAGTGCCCTGTAATAACATTAAATCAGGACTCATTTTTTTGAAGCTTGTCTCCGCTTTCCCAAATCAAAAGATTAACAAACCCGCTGTTCACTCCTCAAGGAGACCTCAAGCCTCCAATCATTCCTGTGAATGAGAGTTACGGCCCAATAATGAAAGTGGGAGTGCTTAACGAGGCACTAAAAGTGATCTGTGATGACGTACGAGGATCACACTTGAATTCTCCCTTTCCGTTCCCAAGACACGTGCAGCTCATCATCTGGCCATTTTCTCCTTGCCGATCCCACTTCTCTCCAATCTTGTAGTTCACACCATTGTCATGGCACCATTCTGTAACAGGGGGGGAAATTGGGAGCAAAATGTTATTTGTATGTTCTAACTCACAAGTCGGTGTGGGGGCCACAGAATTTTAACGCCAAGGCATATCTGGAAGGGGTGACAAAGAAAGTTAAAGGTCATATTCATTATCATTTTTTTGGTTGAATTATAAAATATTGTTTTTGCCATTTAACATTCTCTAGTACATTTTAAGATCCAGTTTATTCTGCCACCATCATGTCATAAGAATTATCAATGACTTTCACTTGAATTCTCACTATTAAACCTTAAAATGGTAGAAAACTAAAGTAGGATTGGAGTTGTCTTTGAGGAACAGATTACAGGCAAAAAATTACTTTCGCCTATGACTTGCAGAGACTCTAGATACAAAATAATTCAATTAACCATGAAAGAATGATCAGCTGATTTCTACATGCCAGTGCCCCTTAATAGAAGAGTAAAAAGCCAGCCTGGAGCAAAAAAATACAAAAACAAACATCATGATCAGTCAGTGGTAATTATCCCCACAAGTAACACACTGGTTCAGAGGACTATCCCAAAGCCACATGTTAGAGATCTTTAATTAGTATACATAAAAGATGACTTTTTAATCTCCAAAATTTATACTAAAACAAAACACCTCAGAAGTTTATGCAACAACATGCTATTTTCATTTTATCAATAATTCAGCCTTCTTTATGCTAAAAAATAAGGAAATTAGACCATTGTGATATCTAAACAAATATTATGTAAATTGAGCCCAAGAATCACACAAATGGACTTAGTGCTCTGCTCCCACAATCGCACCAAGTACTTTCACAGGTGATAAATATGCAAACTTTAAAGTAGTTCAATTTCAGAAGTCAAAAAAAACACCCAGTTGACTTCAGATGTTAAAATGCCCAACCCCTCGACAGTATGTGACACTTCTACTGTTCTGCTACTTCATTCTCAGATAGTCAGGACAGATGACTACACTGAAAATATTGGTTGTTTCTTTAATTTCAATCTGGATTTAACCATTTCACATATGCAAATTAAATAAAATACTTTGAAAATGTTTTTTAAAATTCTGTTATCTTTTATTACTGTAGAATATGATTTCTTTATGTCTACAAGAGGCATGATGGTTAACATCTGCAAAAATGAATGAATTGTTCATAATCATCACATCTCCTTAAGCCAAAGAATAAACAGAAAGCTTATAAATTCTAATACTAACTCTCAAAGAATAATAGATAATTCCTAGGGTCACTTTACTAAGAATCAGAAAATTAAAACCTCTATATACTTTTAAAATCAAATATTTTTAAGTTGAAGTTGATTCTTAACTATCTATAAGTAGATTTTTCTTTTATATACTTAGCAATATTCAAGCTACTTGGGTTGTGAATGTTTGATGTGAGAGTGTATGTGTAATATGACATGTAGGTTATATTGAAAGAGACTGTTGGAATATTCATCTCCAGCTTTACTCCACACTAAAGATTTAAAAAGACTTGGAATTTCTTTGTGTCTCTGTTCTCTCTCTCTCATTTTTTTTTTTTTTAAAGGATGGGGTCTTGCTTTATAGCCCAGGCTGGAGTGCAGTGGCACCATCATAGTTCACTGCAGCCTCTAACTCCTAGGCTTAAGTGATCCTCCGACCCCAGCCTGTGGAGTAGCTGGGACTGTCAGTTTGTACAACCACACTCAGCTAATTTTTCAATTTCTTTGTAGAGATGGGATCTCCCTGTGTTACCCACGCTGCTCTTAAATGCCTCACCTCAATCAATCCTACTCCCTCAGCCTCCCAAAGTGCTGGGATTACAGGTGTGAGCCACCATACCCAACCTGGTATTCTTTTTTTTTTTTTTGCAGTTTTTGGCTAGGGCCATGTTTGAACCCGCCACCTCTTGTATATGGGGTGGGCACCCTACTCCATTGAGCCACAGGCACTACCCCAGCCTGGTATTCTTAATTAAACTTGACTCTAGAGAATTTGATTTTGTAGCCAGGTGTTGTGGTGGATGCCTATACTTCCAGCTACTTGGGAGGCTGAGGCAAGAGAATCTCTTAAGCCCAAGAGTTTGAGGTTTCCATGAGCTATGACATCACCGCACTCTATGCAGGGCTACAGCTTAAGATTCTGTCTCAAAAAAAAGAATTTGATTTTGTTGATTAGTTTTAAGAGAATATTTAAAAAACTTAATTACCGGCACAGTCTTATTTTTAAGTGATAGCTGTATCAGCATATAACCCTCAAATGAAGCAATATTCAACAAGTAAAATTTCCCATCATTTTTTTTTATGATGCAAAATATTACTTTGAGTCAAACAGTATTCTCTTGTTTGCTTCATGTTTGGAAGAGCCTGTGTCTGCCAAACATGCGTCTGGGCACATTAGTGCAAATGCAGGGAACTGGAGGAGATGAACAGACACGTGGATGGACACAGCAACTACTCACTAGATGAATCGCATCGGAAATGACCATTTCCGTAGCCTAAGCACTGGCACGAGAGCTTAAAGCCAGAGTCAGACAACCGCTCCCATTCCTCGCCAATGGCATAGTAAGAAACAGTGTACGGGTCGAAGCAGGAGTCATCTGTAGGTTGGTTCAGGCCTTCATTGACTATGAAGAAAAGGAGGAAAAAAGCAAAAAAAGACATCTTATTGATGGTTTGGGAACAGAAGCAGAAAACCGAATATTGTATACAATGACTTAATCTAAAATACAAATCCTAGTAGAACTAAGAGGCATTTGTCTGTTTTATCAAGGCATCAGCTGTTCTAACAAATAATGCTTAGATGTAGCCAGCAGACACCTGCCACAGGCATCTGAAAAGAAGTCCGTCTTTCATTCTTGTCTCAGTTCTAAAGAATGATCATTTCTGACAAATCTACTTTATAGAACTTGGAACACATCTTGAGGCAATTTAAGCTAGTTAAGAACTTCAGAGGGATACACAGAGCCTGGCAATGCCCCTCCACGGGTACTGGGGGACCTTGGGCTAGTTATTTAAAATCTCTTTGCCTCACTTCTTTCATGTTCAATGTAGGGACAAAAATAAAAATATTTCTAGCTCCTGGGGATCTTATGAAGGAGGTCATGAATTCAAAACATTGGTACTCTGCAAACAGAAAGTGCTCACTAAATGAAGAATAATATTAGAGGCTATCTTTTGCTTATAATGCAAAAAAGTTAGCTTTTTAACATACCATTTTAATGCAATTTTCACTTTTATTATTGCATTTTTTGCACAACAATGCAGAATTTTTACACAGGATTTTTTTTTAATTGCTGTTGTTACTGTTGTTGTTTTTATTTTTTGCAGTTGTTTGAACCCACCACCTCCGGTATATGGGTCCAGCGCTCTACTCCTCAAGCCACAGGTGCCACCCCTACAGACTGTTATTATAATGACAAAATTGCTTTTTTTATCAATAAAATCAACTGTTTTAAATAAGGTGAAGCAATGAGATATAGATGATTTAGAAATAAGTAACAGAGTCTGTTCATGTTACTTAATATCTTGTTTCTTTACAATTTGGAAAAGCTTATTTTAAAATAATCTATGCAAACAAAGCATGTCTCAAATTATTCTCTAAAAATTAAACTAATTGGCTTTAAATCCCACCATGCATATTTCTTTTTACAGGGCAAAAATCAAAAGCTCAAAAGCAATGGATATTTCAAGTGCCTAATATTTTAAAAGGCATCACCCAGCAAGAAAATGGTTACGAATTCTGAAATGTTTAAAAGCCAGGAGAACCTGGTTAGAATGAGGAATATTGCTTCTGGGAATAATGAGTTGGAAAGAAAAATGGAAGGAGCTTAAACTGTTACTAGGGGTTTCAAAACCCCAAAATGAGCCAGGAGTTAAGATTCCATCCTAACTAGAGTTAGGGAGATGAATTTGTTTTTCAAAAATGATGTAGAAAAACACAAAGACCTTTGTGCTTTTGCAAATCCCATTCATGTGGCATTCTACTTAGTAAAACCAGAAAGGCAAAAGATAGGTGGATGGGTAATACAACAAACACAAAATAACCCCCCACGCCCCTGGCCAAATACTCAACTGCTTCATTCACAGGTATTATTTACACATGTAAAAGAACTCAGATGAGGAAGGAGGCTGAAATTAACTAACTGGCCCTAGGAATAAAACCTGTCACTTGGCAAAGAACTTAGCACCCTTGGCTGATGTGGCATAGAGAACCCTCCCATTGGTAGATTCAGGATTCATGGTTTTAGTTATTCCTAACTCATGTTCTTTGGTGAATCTGCAGCTGCAGCAAATTGAAAAGCCTGGTGGTCCATAACTGGTTTAAAAGGACCTTCCAGGGGCTACAAAGAAGAGTTAATGATCTTTTAACCTCTATTGAGGCTTTGCACCTATATAATCAGAAAGAAAAAAATGGAATTGGAATAAAGGAGCTCTTTGGACAGAAATAGGCCATATCTGTAGCATTTTATATCAGGAACAAAAGCCATCTGTCCCTAATGTCTGCAGATGGGGGCAGGTAATTTGTTTTGGCACTTAAGAATCATTCAAGAGGACAGCAGTGTGGTGAGATGGAGAAGGTCTGGGAAAAGACATCAGGAAACTTCTACCCTAGGTTAACTCAGACACTAGCAAGGACTGAAGACTGTTGGACTAAGTAATACTTGAAGTCCATTCCTGGTCTACCATCATCCCACCATTTGAAAGACTGTCAGTGATGTAATAAGCATTTTGTGAAGACACCAGCATACGGTAGCAAGTTACAGCTGCTCACTTACTTCATGTTGACCAGCAGTATTATTTTCCAGAGATAAAAGACAACAGCAACAAAGGGATGGTCAACAGAGAAAGCTATCTCTGGCCTAGTCCAGAGGGGAGCATGTGCCTGAATGACACGTGCTTACGTACCAGAGTTACCCACGGTAACGACCTCCTCCCGAACCTTGTGCCTCTTTTGGTCTTTCAGCGCCTCCACTATGATGTTGTAGGTGGCCCCTCTGGTAAGGCCTGTTAGTGTGGCACTGGTCGAAGTTCCAGGAACTCGGAACTGCAATTTC